ACTCACTGCCCTTGGCCACTGTCTTTTCTGTGTTGTTCACTAATTGTATTAAAGTTACCTTCCATTAAAGGTCTTATATGTTTTGTCTTGATGGATGTGGCTGATGGCAGAACCTATTTCTGGCAGGCAGGTTTGGGGGCTTGGGGGTGACCCTCTCCCTGCCCTGTAAGAGAGACCTGGTCACTCACATCCAGTTGGTTTTGCACTTCTGCTTAACCCTAGTGAACATCTGATGTTTCTCCTCTGGTTTAGGGAAAAACACAACTGTCTCTTCAGCTGCAGTATAAGCTAAATGAATACATTTTTAAAAAGACAGTTTGGAAGAGAATCTTGGCATCGAAGCATGGAAAAGGTCCTTGAGTGCTATTATGGAGTGGCCTGTGTTCCCTCAGCATTCCCATGTGGAAACTGCCAGGCCTCAGGAGAAAATTCCCCCACCCCACTAGGTTCTTCGAAGGTTGATGAAAAGAGAATGATCCACAAAGAACTAACCCCAAAATAAGTGTATTTGGAGATAGGGCCCAAGGGGGTAATGAGGTTGAAGGGGGTTATAAGCAAGTGGCTGATGTCCCTTTGAGACACAGGGCAAGCTAGGAATTATGCAGTTTTAGGGACACTACAGGAGGGGACCTTGGAGAATTGAGGAAGGCTTCAGAGATAAGGGCAGCAAGAGGAGTGTAACCAATTCCACTAGGAAAAACAAACATCCCACGACCAAGGACAACATTGTTAACGCTGGTCCTGGTTTCCTTTAGGTGGTAAAGGGAGGCAGAGATTGGAGAAATGGAGAGTGGTTTAATTTATGGACACATTAGAAGGGCAGCTGTTTAACTTCAATGCAGGGATGTTCATCCAGAGAACTGGGCCATAAAGATGCAACAAATGGGGAAAGAGAAAGCTGTTAGATAAGGAATGTGAAGATCCCCCACTCAGTAGCAAATTAAGTGAGACAGCCGAGAACTAACCAATCACAAAGAGACTGGTGGAGCTTTAGAATAATGAGGGAAAGAAGGTCTATATTCCCTGAGACACGACTCCACTTTGGCTTCCTTGCCCCTCCCAGGCCTGGTTCCCTGGCCTGGGAGTCCCCACTTTATTTCTGTTCTTTTTCTCCTCAATAAACTTTTTCTTTCTCTAAACAAACCTGCCTCTTCTCACTTGCTTGCCTGAGCATCTGCAAAGTTCCTGCTGTGGCTTCGTGAGACACCAACCCGTGGGGGTCTAGCGGCTGGGACTCAGCGCTGCCCCTGCAGCCTGGGATCCATTCCTGGCTGGGAAACTAGGCCTGACAATTCCAGCATCACCTTTAAGAAGAGGAGGACACAGCAGCTGACTACCCACAGAGAAGCAGGCCAGGCAACGATTCTGAAGGCCGCAGGGAGTATGCCAGGGAGAGAGGACCCCAGAAACCCAAGCTGCCAACCCCTTGATCCTGGACTTCTAACCTCCAAAGGGTGAGAAACTAGGTTACTGTTGCTTAAGCCATCCGGTGGGGTGTTTAGTCGTGGCGTGTGTCAGGCAGGAGGCAGGGTCCGGGTAGTCTCAGCAGCCCCATGACACGGCCATTAACTCAGGCTGAGTGAGGCCTACTGAGTTATTATAACACAGGAAGCAGCATTTTCCCCACTGGAGAAGGGAGGCCAGGTCACCCACACTCTGACTGTCCCTGTCTCTAAGAAGAAACCACACTCAAGATCTACTTTAGATAAAACAAAGTTTTCAATACTTATTAACCCTCTACGCTAAAAATCCCTTCAGGGAAGCGATACAGAATCCATCACGACTGCAAGAGGTCACAGCATAAAGAAATACAAGTTCCAGAGAGTGAGCCCTAACATGACGCTGCACTAAAGCTGCTTAAGGGGAATCTCCATCCTCTTCTCAGGGAGCAGCAGAGCCCGGTGCTGACTCCCTCATGCTGAACTGCAAGAACTTTAGTGAATTCTTGCCTGGTACTTGCAAGCATCTAAATAGATACTTTGGATTTGGTTAAGCAGAAACTGTTCAAGGAGGACGAATATTTGGAAGGGAAAGGAAATAATACCTGAGAAGAAGACAAGAAAAGTCAGACTCAGAAGGGGCGAGAGAGGGACTACCATTTAAGGTGGCGAAAGATCTGCAACAGGAGGAAGGTTCTCAACTGTAGCTTTGCTGTTCAAGCTTGGAGAAATTGCTATTTAGTCACATGATATCCGTAAACAGAAACCCTGGGGTAGCTTCAAAAAACTGCTTGGCAAATCATTTTGCCGGTTAGGTTTACAAAAGCCATTAAGGTACTTATTTACTTTGAGGACCAAAACTAGAGGAAGAATGATGCGATTATTTTTTTATTTATTTTAGGGTACAGAATATTTTGGGGTTTGATTAAAAAAAAAAAAAACAAACTTGGACAGCTGTGACCAGATCACACCACTCGACACGACTTCCTCTCTCGCTCTTCTCGCTGCCGAGTGGCTCCAGGAGAACGAACTTAAAACTAGTGGCTAAAGAGAGGCAGAAGCGATAATTCTGCTCACCCCTGACCCTGTTGACTGAGAGTTGAAGGCGGGAAGGAGGCATGTCCACGGCCTGTGGGAAACACGCCTCGGCGCTGCGCTTCTGCGTTGTGGCCACAAGGTGGCAGGAGAGGACAACATTTCCAACCCCGCCGCCGACGGGAACTCAGACCACGAGGAGGAAGGAAAAAAATCAGCCCAGGACAGTGAACAAAGGGAGGAGGGGGTGACAGAATGCAGCCGTGTCCAGGAACAGGGTGAAATCCGAGGGCTCTTCTCCTCCAAGTAAGGCAGCTGGAGGGTTGGCGCTGCCGCCAACCCCCAGATCTTAAAGATGGGGCACACTGAATAGTGCAAGAAAACTTTATTTTGGAAAAGTGACGGGCAAACCCACATAGTTTGGACCCTGACCCGTGGTCGCGACTTCCTTTAGGGGGTCTGCTGCTGTGACAGGCAAGACTTCGTCCCAGATAAAACCCACACCCACACCTTCAGGGCAGTGACAACAGAGAAAGGAAAAAGGTGATTTAGAAACCCGGAGAGGGACGGCGGGTGGGGGTGGGGGGTGGCGATTTTGTAGTTGTTGTTCAAAGAAAAAATATTTCTGACACCGGTATTTCCTGAGAGGGCACGACAGGGCGGCAGAAAAGGTTAACGCATTTAGCGAAAAAAAAAAAAAAAAAAAAAAAAGAGGATTTAAGCGCTATGGAAAGACGCATGAGAGGGAGAATAGAAGGATTTTCGCCGTCGTACCTGGAAATCCTCCGCCCCTGGTTTTCCCAGCCAGCCACATCTTCATTCCATCTCTTACTTCTGGGCACTTTCCAGGAGTCCGCGTCTCTTTAAATACTGCGTACTGAGAAAGAAACTTTTTTTTGCCCTAGACTAAAATAACCCAAGTCAAGCCTTAGTTCCACGGCAGCAATGCAGGTAACGCCCCGCGGCTTCTGATTGGGCAGAAGCCCCGTTTGAAAAGCCCGCCGGGGCTGCGAGGTCCTAACCGGGGGCTTGCAAACCCCAGCCCTCCTCGGGCCTGCCACGTTGCCCTCCCTGCACAGCCCGTTTCTACGCCTCCCGAGTCAACACTGCCTTTCCCAGAGTTCCCGGTCCTTGTCCTGACATTTTATCCGTAAGCCACTTGCCTGACCTTTCAATATTCCGTCTGAACTTTGGTATAAATCACAACTCACCCTAATCTCTCAGAAGGGCGGGCAGGGCTGAGGCTCAGTGCGCAACGGTTAGTTGTGGGACATGGGGACCGACAGGTTCACTTTTCTCTAGGGATCCAACAGCCGAACACAAAACCTGTACAACTTGCAGTTCTCGGCTCCAGAGCCCTGGGCAGCCTCAGATAACGCCAAGGCAAAATCTTACTTTGCGGAAAAACCCTCCGAGAAACGCACAACCCAGAAAACGGGTTGTTTGGCCAATCGCATCCCAGGCGGACTTTACTAGCAGGGTTTCTGCCCACTCAGAAAGTCGGGCCCTTACCAGCTTGGCTGCAATGAAACAAAGGCTTGACTTGGATTATTTGCAGCCTAGAGTAAAAATGAGCTTTTCAAAAGGTGTCAGAGAACGCATAATAAAGCGCTTGACACGGCCTCCGAACACTCAGTAAATATTAGCGCAAGGCTTAACTTCCAACCCTTTTCCACGCCTGCCAGCCCCCCACCCGGCCAGGACCACGCTGTAGACGAAGGCAGCCGGCCACTTCTCTGCAGGTGTGGGTGCCCTTTATCTACACTCATAGCAGGACAGCGCGAGTGCCAGTTCTCTTTGGAAAACGTGGTGGCTCTGAAAAGAGCCTTTGGGGCGCGGCCGGCCGGGGGCTGCGCGGGCCTCACTTGGAGCTGGTGTACTTGGTGACGGCCTTGGTGCCCTCGGACACGGCGTGCTTGGCCAGCTCCCCGGGCAGCAGCAGGCGCACGGCCGTCTGGATCTCCCGCGACGTGATGGTCGAGCGCTTGTTGTAGTGCGCCAGGCGGGACGCCTCGCCCGCGATGCGCTCGAAGATGTCGTTGACGAACGAGTTCATGATGCCCATGGCCTTGGACGAAATGCCCGTGTCGGGGTGCACCTGCTTCAGCACCTTGTACACGTACACCGAGTAGCTCTCCTTGCGGCTGCGCTTGCGCTTCTTGCCGTCCTTCTTCTGCGCCTTGGTCACCGCCTTCTTGGAGCCCTTCTTGGGCGCGGGCGCGGACTTGGCCGGCTCAGGCATGGCGAGCAGCAGATGAAAGAAAATGAAGCATCAGAGCCCGGCGGCACCGCCTTAAATATACAGCCTTATGTAAATGAGGTAGACTGGCGCTGCCCGGTGATTGGTGCTTCCTCTCCGGTGACGCCACCGCGCCGGCTTCACCCAATCGACACACGCATGCCCCATCGTCGCGCCCCCATTGGTGCAAACGAAAATCTCAGAGTGGCCAATCGCACAGCTCTTTTTTCGCGCCCCGCCACCACTATAAGTAGCTTAGGTCGTTCTCGCTGGCGTGAGAGTCCCGTGCGCGCTGATATTGTGTACGACATGTCCGGACGCGGCAAGCAGGGCGGCAAGGCGCGCGCCAAGGCCAAGACGCGCTCGTCGCGGGCCGGGCTGCAGTTCCCCGTGGGCCGCGTGCACCGCCTGCTGCGCAAGGGCAACTACTCCGAGCGCGTGGGCGCCGGCGCGCCGGTGTACCTGGCCGCGGTGCTGGAGTACCTGACGGCCGAGATCCTGGAGCTGGCGGGCAACGCGGCGCGCGACAACAAGAAGACGCGCATCATCCCGCGCCACCTGCAGCTGGCCATCCGCAACGACGAGGAGCTCAACAAGCTGCTGGGCAAGGTGACGATCGCGCAGGGCGGCGTCCTGCCCAACATCCAGGCCGTGCTGCTGCCCAAGAAGACCGAGAGCCACCACAAGGCCAAGGGCAAGTGAGATGTGGACTCACCCTTGAGGAAAACCCCAAACAGCAAAGGCTCTTTTCAGAGCCACCCACAATTTCGGCGGAAGAGCTGAGCACGCGCTGCTGAAACTTAACCACAAATTCCTGGGATGTGTTGAATTAACGTTACCTGCGCTGCTGGTTTGTACCCAGCATGTATTAGAAAAAACCATTTATTTCGTACTGTCCTTGAGAACAGGAAGCATTTCTCTCCTCCTCACCAACGTGTTATCCTAGAAAATTTAAAAAAGCAAATTTCTGGTAATTACTTGCTCAAGCCAATATGTTAAGTAAATATTACGCACTTTTTGCTTATTGGCAGAACTTGAATGGTGCATTCGTGTAAAGACATAAGAACTTAAGCCCTATTACAGGAAGGCCGTCCTTGATCTATGTAAACCTCTCATTAGTCCGGGGGTGTTAATTAAGGACACAATTTACGTATTAAAACTGCAATTAGTATTTTATTGCATCAAGATTAATGATGTCATAAACACGAAGTGGAATTTAGTCAAACACATGAGAAGTTTCCCATTCCCACATTACGCTGACCTAACGAATGCGCCGATGTTTCACACAAAAGTTGATTAAAATTTTTTTCCTTGTTCTATTATTCTTGCAGTCATTAGAAGCCATCTTGATATAGTTATGAAACAAAACTACTTTTTTACAGAGACTAACAAAGGCACCCACCTTTCACCTACCCTTCACCCCGCCCGGGAAAGGGGAAAACCCCTATGAAAATGTATTAAAGAAAAAAAAAAAAACTTTCCAAATATTAAAAAAAAAAAATGTATTAAAGAAAATATGAGGCGCACATTAGCACAAATTCCGGATCAGAGTCCTTTTTCATGCTGGAAGCTTAACGTTGTGGCGGAAAACAGTAAACTCCCACAGAATGGAATACAGCAGCAATTCTTTCTTGTGGAAAACAACAACAAAAAAAAAAACAAAAAAAAAAACACCAAAAAGCCAGGAAACCGCGTCGTTTCGGGGGAGGCAGGAAACAAATCAAGACGGGATTCTAAGCCCACCAGGGCGCGCCTGCGCACTTCTGTCCAATCAGGAGCGGCGCGTCACTATAAAGCCCGGTCCCCGCGGCGGCTCGGCAGTCGCTAGTTCCTGAAGCGCAAGTTCCCCAGGCATGGCCCGCACGAAGCAGACGGCGCGCAAGTCCACCGGCGGCAAGGCGCCGCGCAAGCAGCTGGCCACCAAGGCGGCCCGCAAGAGCGCGCCGGCCACGGGCGGCGTGAAGAAGCCCCACCGCTACCGGCCGGGCACCGTGGCGCTGCGCGAGATCCGCCGCTACCAGAAGTCCACGGAGCTGCTGATCCGCAAGCTGCCGTTCCAGCGGCTGGTGCGCGAGATCGCGCAGGACTTCAAGACCGACCTGCGCTTCCAGAGCTCGGCCGTGATGGCGCTGCAGGAGGCGTGCGAGGCCTACCTGGTGGGGCTGTTCGAGGACACCAACCTGTGCGCCATCCACGCCAAGCGCGTCACCATCATGCCCAAGGACATCCAGCTGGCGCGCCGCATCCGCGGGGAGCGCGCGTAAACTCGCTGCTCTCTCCAGCCTGCCCGGCCTGTGGGCCCTTCCTCCCAAAGGCTCTTTTCAGAGCCACTTTCATTATCACTGACTGCAGCTGTCACTAGGTTGGTGTTCAGAATGTGAATTGGGCGCCTCTTGGGGAAAAGTGGGGCTTATGGTAATCGGGTTTGTCTCAGAAGATGGCGCACAAGGTTGGTATGAACGCCACGCCATCTCCAAGCACCTTGTTGACTATCAAAACTTAAGGTGCTGAATAGTTGCTAGATTAAAAAAGCACCGTCCGCACAGAAAGTGGGTCCTTTGACTTAAGGCAGGAAAAGAACTTGGGAGTTTACACCATTCCATTTATCATATAAATGTAGGAGCAGAGCTGGCGCCCCACCCCCGCCTTGCGAGAGGAAGGTGCTTTCCACGATGTCGTTCCTCCATAGGTTGACTTAACTGTCCGGGGTCGCAGGCGGTGGAGAGCACATGGGTGTTGTGTTAGCTCTGGCAGTGATGTAGTTTTGCCTGGCATCGTATCGTGGATAGAACTCACGTTTTCAGAGACTTGGTGTTTAAAATGCAACTTCATAAAGAACAAAAGGCTGGGATTTGGCTGGAACTGTAGCTCTTTGTCCAGAAGGCTGGCTAATGCAGACTGAGCCTTTTCATTCAAAAAAGAATTGAGTTTCTTGTTTAGCAATAACACCTGGTAAACCTGTGGGAGAAAGATCTGAAATGCTTATATTTTCCATCACACCCATCCCAAGTATTGGTGTGAAGTAAGGAAACTCACCCTCTGGTTTTATCAGCCTCCAGGAGCCTGATAATACAGGCACCTGCCATCCACATCCAGTTCCAGAGTTGTGGCATAATGTGGCGTTCCCTGAGGCAGAGACAGACCATTTGGGGTAGTAACACACTCACCTCACCTAAGGGTCTCCCTAGGACTCATCCCTTGCCTAATACACACACATTAAATCCTAGTGCCAATAGGAAATAGTGTTCTCCCAAATCTGAGTCTAACTTTTAAGTCAAATTTTGCTCCATTTTTTTCTCCCACAGAATAAACATGTCATTAGGTCAGAGAATTTTCTTTGTTCTGTTCAGTTTTGTTCCTAAATAGGAAAGTCCATACACACGGGAGGTGCTCATTAAATGCTGAGTGAATGTACTGTTAATTTTAATCAAGATAGCATCTGAGCTCATCCCAACTCAACCTTACACCTTTTATCCCAGATATGTCCCTACTATTTTGATTGCCATGGTGAATAGATCCATGGTATTGACAATGAATATATAAAGCTCTAAAATTTCTAAGCTATTTTCACATGTGTTTGTATGTGAGCCTCATAATAGTCCCCAGTGTATATTACACAAGATATATATTACTCCCTTAGTAGCTCTGGAAAATTCTTTCCCAAAACGGGGCAAAACTAGGCCAGTATCCGTTTAGTATTCTTTCACAACCCAGGATGAGAAAGAAGTGATTTGGATAAGCCACCAATGGGTGTAGGAAAATAAAGGAGAATCAGTTTAAGAACCAGTTGGTGCAGAAAGGTCTGTTAACCTTTCACTGGGAAGTCGGACATAAGGTGATTCTAAAGTCTTCCAACTCCTCAGCAAGGCTCGGATTTTAGTCTTCTGAGATCTGTACTTCAGAAACCAAGGGTGCTGTGGATAATTGAGGATGTTTTCTTTTCTTTCTTTCTTTCTTTTTTTTTTTTTAAAGATTTATTTATTTATTTATTTATACAAGCACTGGGTACAGTCAGAAGCCCAGGAGGGTGAGAGAATTCACCAGAGCCAGAGCAGGGAACAGAACAGGCAGACTGATGAAAAACACTGCTGAGGGGAGCAGCGGGAGTGGCAGGAGAGGTCTGTCGCACCATGTGGGACCCTCGCAGGTGGCTGGGGATCGAACTGGTGCTGCAGAGGCTGCGGGCAGCTTTGCAGCCCAGGGCTCAACTGCTGTGCCACTAGGGGAGGCCTGAGGATGTTTTCTATGTGTTCCCTTGAGCTGGTTACTAACTGGCCACTCATGGACATCTGCGACCTATTTGCTGTCTGCAAATCCCAGCAGAATATTCCTTGACCACCTACAGAGCATAGCCCATATGTCAAGGTAGGCCGGGGGATGCCTACGCTGCTGATGACCTGATTATGTGACTATCTCCATGGTGGACTCGGATAATTCTGCCTGTGATAACATCACATTGCTGATACAAATGTCTCTTTTTTATATATATATATAAAGCTCTATTTACTTTATTTTTTTAAATTATTTTTTATTTATTTATACAAGCACTGGGTACAGTCAGAAGCGCGGGAGGGTGAGAGAACTCACCAGAGCCAGAGCGGGGAGCAGAGAAGGCAGAAGGACCGAAGTACACTGCTGAGGGTGTAACAGGGTGGTCCCCAGGAAAGGGGGAGGTTCCCTGCCCCACCCAAGAGAGGGTGGAGCTGAGCAGGAAGAGGAGAAGCTGCAGAAGAGACTGAGGAAGGAAGGAGCAGGATGGAGCCAGAAGGAGACCTGGAGTTGGGGAATATAAAAATAAAATTTAATATTAAAAAAAAAAATAAAATAAAATAATTAAAAAAAAAAAAAGAAGGAGACCTGGAGGAGGCGCATGGAGCCTAGAGACACGTAAAAAAACTGTGCTTGTCTTTTGGTCGTGGACGGGGTGACACAGATGTGGGTGAGATCCGTGGGGAGGTGACAATGGCAGCTTTTATCTTGATGTTGATTTTGCTCTTTTCCTTCGGGGCTTGTCCGGTTGTTTGTGACCCTTTTCTGTGGGTCCCCACTGGAAGATGCTTTAGACTTGTGGCAGGCTTTGGGGCCTTGTTCTGGGCCGATCCCATATGGATGGAGTTTTACCCACGAGGGGACGGGTAACTTTAGGTGCTTCATTTAGAAACTAGACTCTTTGCCTTACCTGTATTGTTTCCTAGTTTTATTAAAGTTCCTTCCCATTAAAGTCTCCTATGTTTTGTGTTGATGCGGCGGATGGCAGAACCCATTTAGAATAGGCAGGTTTGCGGGGTTTGGGCTGCCCCTTTCCCTGTCCTATAACAAGGGGAGCAGCAGGTGGCAGGAGAGGTCTGGGCCCCATGTGGGACCCTCCTCCGGTGGCCAGGGAGCAGCTGGGGATCAAACCGGTGCTGCAGAGGCTGTGGGCAGCTTCGCAACTCAGTGCTCAACCGCTGCGCCACTGGGGAGGCCCTACAAATGTCTCTTGACGTAGGGTCACAGTGTCTCCTTCCCTGTCCCTCATAAAAGTTTGTCCCCCACTCCTATCCCACCCTCTGGACTTTATTCCTCATACCATTGTGGCATGATCAGCTTTTACTAGCCAGTGTGCTTCAATAAGTGGTACAAGGACTTCTGCTGAAGTAGCAGAGTCTTGCCTTGCAAACCTGCTCTACAACTGCTGGGTCCCGCATCTGGTTCCTGCTGCAAAGCAGCAACAAAGTTCCTGTCACAACAGTTTTATATTTGTAGGCTAAGTCTGGGCATAGAAAAGTCATTTTAGGAAATGTCCAGAAATTCCGTAGCTAGCATGATGTAAGTGGCTCAGTCAAAGCACTGTTGAGTGACTGGAGAGAAGGTCATATGAAGGACGCTGCTTCCTGCTTGCTTGCTCTTGGGGCACTAGCTTTGGTGGTGGTGGGGGACCCTTGCTGCCACGCTGGGGGCACACTCAGGTAGCCCTAGTGACACAATTACGAATGACTGGTCTCTCAGATAAGCATTAACAAGTTTGTCTTTCCCATATTTCTTGCAGTTTCCCCCTTGTTTGACAGGTTTGTCTGATTGCATTCCAAGGAATAAGAAGTTAAACTGCAGTTGTTGACAAAAGCAAGCTGGCGCCCACCTGTCTCTGTGCTGACCCCTTTTCCCTCCCCTTTGCAGACCCTTGCCCATCTCTCTTTTTTTTTTCCTTTGTATAAATACCGCTGCGTTCTGCCCAAGAACAGGATGGTGGTCTTTCAGACATGGGTCTGCTGCCCTCCTCAATAGCCAACAAATTAAACCACTTTCCTTTTCCTCAAACTCTGTTTCCTTTTGTTGACTGAGGGAGACAGAGGCCAGTGTCACTAGGAGAGGCCTGAATAGTGAGAAAGAGGTAACTTCTTAACAGTCCAGAAACTCCCAACAGCCCTGAGAGTGAAACATCTCAGGCCACAGTGAACCTCAGAAGACTCGGCCCCTGTGGACAGGGTGACTCTTCACTTGGTGAGTGAACCTGGACCAGAACCATCTGTAACAGGGTGGTCCCCAGGAAAGGGGAAGATTCCAGGTTTCCTGCCCCATCCAAGGGAGGGTGGAACTGAGCAGGGAGAGAAGAGGCTGCAGAGGAGACTGAGGAAGGAAGGAAGCAGGAGGGAGCCAGAAGGAGACCTGGAGGAGGCACATGGAGCAGAGAGACATGTGAAGAGACTGCGCTTGCCTTTTGGTCATGAACTGGTTAGAACAAATGTGGGTAAGAGACCCGTGGGGAGGTGACCATGGCGGTTTTTGTCTTGATTTTGCTCATTTCCCTCCAGACTTGTCTGGTTGTTGCTGATCCTTTACTGTGAGTCCTCACTGGAAGATGCTTTAGACTTGTGGCAGGCTTTGGGGCCTTGCTATGGGCCAATCCTGCTTGTGTGGACTTTTACCCATGAGGGGATGCATAACTTTGGGTGCTTAATTTAGAAACTAGATTCTTTGCCTTTCCTGTATTGTTTCCTAATTGTATTAAAGTTACTTCCCATTAAAGTCTCATATGTTTTGTGTTGATGTGGCGGATGGCAGAACACATTTAGAGTAGGCAGGTTTGTGGGGTCTGGGGTGCCCCCTCCCTGTCCTGTAACACATCCAACCACACACTTGCTGATTCCTGATCTTCAGAAATTATGACCTCTTAAATTTGTCCTTTTAAATTGCTAATGTTTTGGGTGATTCATTCACAACAGCAGCTGATGTGATAGGAAATAAACAATAGGAGTTATCAGCAACACCATTGGGGTTCAGATGATGGGGCAGAGTGTGTGAGGTTCTTGGGTCCCTCTGAGAAAGAATCCAGCAGATGTTCCCATGCAGCAGCACATTGCAAGTTTATTAAGGAAGGGAAAAAAGCAGACACCTGCATAGACACAGGCAGACATCTTTAAAGGACACGAGTTGAGTTTTGACAGAGTAAAGGGTACTCTTTGATGAAAGTATTGTGGAATGTATCACCTTGGAGTCAGGTTGGATTTGTTTCCATAATTCTCTCTGCCCCCACCCCAGGCCGATAATCTTTTCTGACCACACCTCAGATTCCTGGAAACTTCCATAACAGGTTTAGGATTCATTCATCCTCTCTGCTCCTACCTCTGGTGTTGTCCTTTGAGATCTCCCATCCTAAATTTTTCTACTCTCAGCTTCCATCAAACCCACTGAGATGAGATGAACATGGCCCACAGCTCTGCACCCCAACATGGGGAAGTCTGGGTTCACAGGAACTTGCTTTAGTCATTGCCCCACCATCGCAGGATTTTCTTTGGCTGCTATCCAGAGAGACTGGGGACCAGAGTTGTGAAGGAGAAAAAGTGCTCACTTTACACCTCTGGCTACTTCTTAGGCTGGTCAAGCAATCAAATCCACATCAGACAGATAAGTAGGAGAAAAAAAGAGATGAGTGATGTATGTACATATGGGAAGTCTGCATAGACAAAGACTCCAGGGTCAGTGAGAAAAAATGGAGTTATATATGGCCAAGGCACAAAGGAAATCCTTCTCTTCACCACTGGTTCTCCAGGCTAGCAAAAAATCAAACAGAGGCCTCCCTGATGGCAGAAGGGGTTAAGACCCAGCCTTTGAAGCTATCCATGGCAGCTGCAGCATGGATTCGATCCTGAGCCCTGGAGCTGCCCACATGGTGCAGAAGAGCTCTCCTGACTCACCCGCTGCTCCCCTCAGCAGTGTACTTCAGTCAGTCTGCCTGTTCTGCTCCCCACTCTGTCTCTGGTGAATCTTCTCACACACACCCCCCACCTCACCTCTAGCCTGTACCCCAGTTCTTGTATGCATAAATAAATTAATCTTAAAAAAAATCAAACAAGCACTACTCATTGATAAGAGAAAAAACATATAGATGTTTAATAATGATATATAACTTGCTATATTCAGGGAAGAGATCCAGCATGACTTGGCTTTAGATATCACCTTATGTAGCCTCACAGGGGACAGAGGGAATGAAAGGGGAAATTCAGCCAGGGAGTTCATTGGGGAAAACAAAGGTGCTTCCACCTCCTCCTGCGAAAAAAGGGGGATTAGGTCTTCCTGAGATAGAACCTTACACAAAGAAGTTTAGCCTCCACCCAGCATTTAGACCCCTCCCCCAAATCAAGCATTTGCCAGGCATGTTTTGGGGTGGCAGATTTTTGTTCCCTTACAATATCCTGAACCAAGGAATAGATAAGGGCCTGGGGCTTCCAGGAGGATGGAGGAACCTTATGTGACAGGAAAAGGGTATCTCATCTGACAGATGGGAGGCTCTATCACTAGATGTTTGTCCTGCCCATATAGTTTGGTTTTTCTCCAACAGAATGGTTCCTTTCTGGTAATAACACTAGTTCTAGGCAATACCCCCAATTTTCATTTTTAGGTAATGAAGGGAGTGGTGAAAGTTTCTCTATAGCCTGCCAGGCCTAGATTGACATCAGCCTGAAAGAAATTCACATACCAGGTGGCACCTCATGGAAAGGCTTGTTCTTGACAGCTTGCGGAGGCCTATTCATGAGCAATAAAATAAAAGTAAAACTAATTTTTCCTGTATTCAACTTAGCTCTTGACTGAGAGTCCCTTGTAATAAAAAAGTTAAAGTGGGAAAAAAAAACAACAACCCACATTTAATTCCACACATAGATATGGGAGCCCTAAAAACACGAGACTCAAAGGAAACTAGCAGGGGAGGCACAGGGGCCCCGAGCTCTGGGGAAGAGAGGAATGCAATTCACAGAAGAGGTAATGTTGGGTAACAAAGGTTTGTCCTACTAAGCAGACAAGCCTGTTGAAAAAGATTGATAAAAAGTTCTCTTGCTGTCCAGGCTCGAGTTTACACAGTGATGGGGGAAGAAAAAAAGCCTTTCCTGTGTCTGCTGAGGTTGGATTTGCCTTCAGCTCCACATGCCAACCAAGGCTTCATGGGTGGCACCATTTACTTCCTTCCAGTGTCACCTGGGGAAATTAGATTACATAGTGAAGGCCAGGCCTGTACAAGATGGGATCCTGTTTTGCACCTACGGTAAGTTGAGAGGTGTTTCTAAGAACTTGGAAACTGAGTCGTGGAATGATTATTACTTTAGAGGGTAATCACTCATACATTTGCAATATGCAGGGCGGACATTGCTGATGCTTGGGAAGAGGGACTGGGCGGGAAAAGGCAGTTGCCAAGGACAGAACCTGATCCTTGAAGACAAGCCCGGCCAGGGGAAGGTCACGCCCAATGGCCCATCAGACACGAAGAGGGAAAGCATTTCTTTTTCCTGGAATAAGCGCCTCCCTCGCCTTCACATGATGCACTTTATTTGTAAATTTAAGGCACAGGATTTCAGGGTGACATCTCCCAGTTCAACAAAGAAAGGGCATGTTTGCTTCCTTGTCCGCTCGCCAAGGCTATGGCAGACATAAGCTGATTTCCCTCAGACTTCCTAAAGTGCCTCCAGGTGAGGAGAAGAAAACAGGAGTCAGGACTCCCACAAAAACCGCGGCAGTGGGGAGGTGAATGAGAGGAGGGAAGGCCACCCGGTACACGAGGGCAAAGAAAAGAGAAAACCAACTCTGGGAAAGGCCAGAGCCCCACCGGAAGCTGTCCTGAATCAGCCCACCCGAACCGCATCTCGTCATTGCTCAGACTGATTAAATGAGGTTTCCACAGAAATCGCTTAGGATACGAGAAAGTTCTCGAACGCCGCGGGCTCGCAATCGCGGCTCCTGGGCAGAACTTGCCGTTCCAGGGACGAGGCGCCGGCGCCGTCGGTGCCGAGAGGCGCCGGTAAAGGCAGGACGAGCGGACCCCGAGGCCGCGCTGGGGGGAGGCGCGCGCACAGCGGTGTCTGCGGAAGCGGGATGAGGAATTTCGCGCCGGTTTCCTCTCAGACCCAGGAGCTGACGCCCCGCCCCTCCCATGCCCGAAGACGCGGGCGGCCGCCGGGGCCCCGAGCAGAGGCGGTTTGTGCGGCCGGTTCCCAAACAGGTCCGACGCCGCCCTCTATAAGCGCGCGCCGCCGCAGCCGCGGCCAGTTTGCTGTCTGTTCCCTTCAGCATGTCAGGTCGCGGTAAGGGCGGGAAGGGCCTGGGCAAGGGCGGCGCCAAGCGCCACCGCAAGGTGCTGCGCGACAACATCCAGGGCATCACCAAGCCCGCCATCCGCCGCCTGGCCCGGCGCGGCGGCGTCAAGCGCATCTCGGGGCTCATCTACGAGGAGACCCGCGGGGTGCTCAAGGTCTTCCTGGAGAACGTGATCCGCGACGCCGTCACCTACACCGAGCACGCCAAGCGCAAGACGGTCACGGCCATGGACGTGGTCTACGCGCTCAAGCGCCAGGGCCGCACCCTCTACGGCTTCGGCGGCTAAACTCTTGCTCGATCTGTTTTCAACGCAAAGGCCCTTTTTAGGGCCACCCACTAAGTCTATTAAAGGGCTGTAGACATTGGTTTCCTGTAGTTACAGTGTGGGGGGTATCCATGAAGGGAGGAACAGGGTGCAGCTGATTTGGGAGAGGGACAAGTTTTATTTTTTAAAGGTTTTTATCTCTATAAACACTAGGTACGGGACCAGTGCGGGAGGGTGAGAGAATTCACCAGAGCCACAGCGGAGAACAGAACAGCCAGAGTAACGAAATACACTGTTGAGGGGAACAGCGGGCGCGGCAGGAGAGGTCTGTGCGCCATGCGGGACCCTCGCCGGTGGCCGGCGATCGAACAGGCATTTCAGAGGCTGCGGTCACCTTCGCAGTCCAGCGCTCCACCGCTGCGCCACCAGGGGAGGCCCACAAGTTTTAACCCCCATCAGTTTCTAGTAAATAGTATTCTAGCCGTAGTCAACCCACTTCGCCCATTTTTTTCCCCCTCACATCGCGCCCCCCTCTTTTTTTTTTTTTTTTTAAGATTTATGCGTACAAGAGCTGTAGTACAGGTCAGAGGAGGTGGTGAGATTACCGTGCAGTGGGCAGCAGAACAGGCGAAATCGCTGAAATACTGCTGGGGGAGACAGGAGAGATCCGCCGCGTCACATGTGCCAGCTCGGTGGCTGGGGCTCGAACCCTCGTCGCAGTGGTAGTGGATTGCCTCAGTGCCGAAATGCAGCCCCTGCGCCACCAGGGTGCACGCCCCGCTCGTGCTCTGTAGCAAACAGCCTTGGCACTGCAATGCCGAGGGGAGAGCAGTGGCCGCGCCCCACGGCCAGCAGCGCCTGAAATAACAGGGCTTGCAGGAAAGTGACGTTTCTGCAGTCCACCCGTTTGATCACGATCTTGGGTTTATAAGCACGAAGTATCAATACTGGCACAGCAGAAACAGCTAGAACTTCAAGTCACAACAAAATCTCCATTTCATTCACCCTCAGCTCCTTTTTATGTGAGTTCAGTTAACTTTGTCACTCCCATCCGCTCGCCTTTCACTTAACACAAAGCACTGAGATTCTCAAAACATGTATTTTCGGAGGAATTTGGAAGCATCCCAGAGGCTTTTCAAAAAGTGTAAGATATTTTCTGCACACCCCCTTAAAGACCTAAGTAGAGGCGGGAAAACGCTCTGGCCTGAGAAGCTGACTCAAAGGCGCGGGTGGGGGAGGGAGCCGCAGTGTGGACGAATCAGAGCGCGCGGAGCTCTATAAAAGCCGGGTCGGTGGCACGGGCTCTCATTCCTCCCGAGAGCTCCCTCTTCTCTGCTATGGCTCGCACGAAGCAGACGGCGCGCAAGTCCACCGGCGGCAAGGCGCCCCGCAAGCAGCTGGCCACCAAGGCGGCCCGCAAGAGCGCGCCGGCCACGGGCGGCGTGAAGAAGCCCCACCGCTACCGGCCGGGCACCGTGGCGCTGCGCGAGATCCGCCGCTACCAGAAGTCCACGGAGCTGCTGATCCGCAAGCTGCCGTTCCAGCGGCTGGTGCGCGAGATCGCGCAGGACTTCAAGACCGACCTGCGCTTCCAGAGCTCGGCCGTGATGGCGCTGCAGGAGGCGTGCGAGGCCTACCTGGTGGGGCTGTTCGAGGACACCAACTTGTGCGCCATCCACGCCAAGCGCGTCACCATCATGCCCAAGGACATCCAGCTGGCGCGCCGCATCCGCGGGGAGCGCGCGTAAACCTGAGACTCAAAAACAACTCTACCCACAAAGGCTCTTTTCAGAGCCCCTCCATTGTCACCAAAAGCAGCTGTTCACTTTAAGCCACGAGAAAGCCTAAGAAAGATGGGCGTTTTATGAAGCCCTTACACTTAGGAAGAGCTTTTCTGTTATGTAAGATCAACTTTATTACAAGTAGCCCTTGCTCGTTTATTTTGCACAGTGAAGAGCTGTACCAGTAAAGGTGAAAAGTTACAACTTGGGCTATGTGTGCGAGGCAGAGTAAATTCACGGGTGTAAGTGATTTCAAAAGCTCATTTACATGCCTATCACAGGAAGGCCAAAACACTGAGCTTTTATCTGTTGTGTAACATATGAATACTTAAACTGTTCTGTGTCAGGGTAATGATGACCACGAAGAGCGAATGGATACTTTGGTTTGCTCTAGGGTGAACTCCCAGTAGCTTTTAAAGAACAGTTAAATGCCCAATTTTCAACATGTATCTTAAATCTGAGGTTGGAATTTTTGTCCTTTTTTAAGATAAAAGAATTTAAATGGGCATTAAATCAGATGTTTAAAAGCTGTTTCTGGTTTTCTACACCGAGAATGCTGTGTTTTCTAACCCAACTCTACTCTTGAGAAATTTCTCATGTGCTCTGTATACTACCTCATTTGGTGCTTACATTTCAGGGGTACCCAGCCTAACTACTGGAAGTAGAGGAGTTATAGATAGGCATTTTTCCTGCAGTGATTAGATTGGTCATCTGTTCCTTCTATTTCTGCCCCACACCCACGCCCCACATTTGAAAATTTGACTTTTCAGAGAGATAGAGCTCCCAAACAATGGCTCATGTAGCTTTTTGGAAAGTCTAGGAATTGTTAATGCAAAAACAGTTCGATGGGGTCAGAAGCCTCTTAGTACTGAAGTTGTCATCTCTACTGTCTGTTGGGTGTAGGAACAACTTGATGCTGACTCTTCTGAATTTCAAAGATTGTTCTCTCTGCCCATTCTTAATGCAGCAGAGTTAAGGCCAGGTATTTAGGTTCAAACCTCTGAGCTGCCAACTACTACCTGTACAACCTTTAACAAGTCACTCATCCCCTGGGCCTCAACTTGTACAGCTGTATAATGTGGCAAATGAATTAAAACCTGTAGAACATCCTTAGATTAGCTCCTAGAGCTTAGAAAATGCATAATGGATGTTATTTCTTATTGTTATACTGCTCTCCTGCCCCTTAAGCATGGAGGGGCTTCCTGCCTCCCATCTTCTGAAGGTTTTGTGATTTCTGAAACAGTGCAGTGGGATCTGGAGTTCTTTAGGTGTTGATTTGCATTGGTCTGGAAGAGACAGGCTGATAGCCATTACCTCTGTCTTTAGAGTTCAAAACAGCAAAATAGCTCAGCTTTTGCAGGTCACATATCATCTGTGCCACATAATTATTTTTTCTAATGCAATTTAGAAAAATCTAAAAGCCATTCTTAGCTTGGACTATACAAAAAACGAGCCACTTTTCAGATTTGGCCTTTATTTTCCAGGCACAAAATCCTGTCTATTCACTATCGCAGTACTAAATAAATAAAAAATGTATCCATCCTCCATTCCAAACTCATGGTGATCATTTCAGTTCCCTGGGATGTTAATATATTCCTGAATTCTTACGACCTTCTAAAACCACCAGTCCCTCAATACCTGACTCACCTTTTTCAGTTCAGTAGCAAATTATTTTTCTAAGATATGAATCTATGAATCTTAAGGCCACAAAAATACCAACATTGATATCTCTGGATTGCTTACAGAAAAGGGTGTTCCTTACTACTGAATTTAAGCCCCATAAGGAGCTAGAGTAAGAGGAATTTGCAAGAGTACATTGAAAATCTGGCAAAGTTCTGTTAGCTAAACAGTATGTGCTTTCAAAGGTAACTGGAAGCCCTTCAGTAATTTTTAGCCTCTGTCAGGTTTTTTTCTAAGCCTAATCTGGGCTAAGCATTTTCATCTTTATTTTAATGGATTTCCCAGAACCTGGAGAGAGAAAGCATCTCAATTAAAAACACACCATATTTAAGTTCGAGTATGAATCCAGATTGTTGGATTGGAAGCCAAAGCAATTACTAGTGCCTGTTGGAAGTTGAAGTAAGTTGCTCTGGAAACAGAACTTTTCCAAGGTGCAAAATATCATTTTCTGAAGCCATTGGCACATGGAAATTCCTAAGAGGCAGAACCGGTTTGTAAAGTATGGTCTATGTGTTTAATTTAGGGTTGGAGACAACCAGCCGCCCGGCGCCTGTGTTACTTGCTACAGATGGAAACAAACTTTCTGTCCAAACCCGGGGACCCAGTGTCTTTCCTCTTGAAAACATCAAAGGCTGAAACTAAGGACAGATGCTTTTTAAAAGTATTCACTTGATACTTAGTAGAAATTTCCTGCAACGTGCAACAAACTAGCACCGTGCCCTAAACCCAGCGGACTCCCAGGAAAAGCTGAATGGATTTTCAAAAATATCTTTCCTCCATTGCCCTTGATTCCTGAAAACACAAACAGGTATGGAAACCTACAGGCTGTTTTCCTCCTTTAGAGTTTCAAAGTGTCATATTGTGGATCACTGCTTTCAGCATTTAATCAAATTTTTGACTCTAACAAACACAATTTGGAAGTGCAACTGCGAGAGGCGCCTGCCAGAGGGCGGCGGATTGGCCGATCCACCAATCACAGGGCAGCACCGGCTTATATAAGCCCCGGCCCGCGCGCGGTAGCATCGCAAAGCCCGCCCTTTGGGTTTTAGTCTCTCCTCCTCTCCAGCCTCTGCCATCGCCATGTCGGAAACCGCTCCCGCCGAGACGGCCGCCCCGGGGCCCGTGGAGAAGTCTCCCGCCAAGAAGAAGACCGCCAAGAAGGCGGCCGGCGGCGGCGCGGCGAAGCGCAAGGCCGCGGGGCCCCCGGTGTCCGAGCTCATCACCAAGGCGGTGGCCGCGTCTAAGGAGCGCAATGGCCTCTCTCTGGCCGCGCTCAAGAAGGCGCTGGCGGCCGGCGGCTACGACGTGGAGAAGAACAACAGCCGCATCAAGCTCGGCCTCAAGAGCCTGGTGAGCAAGGGCACCCTGGTGCAGACCAAGGGCACCGGCGCCTCGGGCTCCTTCAAGCTCAACAAGAAGGCGGCCTCCGGGGACGCCAAGCCCAAGGCCAAGAAGGCGGGCGCCGCGAAGGCCAAGAAGCCGGCGGGGGCTACCCCGAAAAAGCCTAAGAAGGCCGCGGCGGCCAAGAAGGCGGTGAAGAAGACCCCCAAGAAGGCTAAGAAGCCCGTGGCCGCCGGCGTCAAGAAGGTGGCCAAGAGCCCCAAGAAGGCCAAGGCCGCCGCCAAACCCAAGAAGGCGGCCAAGAGCCCCGCCAAGCCCAAGTCGGTGAAGCCGAAGGCGGCGAAGCCCAAAGCCGCCAAGCCTAAGGCGGCCAAGCCTAAGGCTGCAAAGGCGAAGAAAACGGCGGCCAAGAAGAAGTAGGAAGCGCGCTTTGAGAAGCGAGGAAACCCCAAAGGCTCTTTTCAGAGCCACCCCATAGATCTCTGAAAACAGCTGTGCACTGATTCTAGACACTGTAAGCCTGAGAGTGAGCAGTGGTGAAAAACGGGCCCGGCCCTGTGTTGGGGGAAATTACATACACATTTATTTCACGTTTAGACATGAAACCCAGTCTAACGGACGAAAAATCCTGGGACCTTTCTGAACCCTACGACCGACTCTGTAGAGGATTTATTCTATGCTTGTGCTTAATTTAACATTGATGACAGACGCTTGGCAAAGCCCCAAAACGAAACTAGCGCTACGGCTCTCCTGGAGGACGAGTCGGTGGCTCTGAAAAGAGCCTTTGGTTTGGAAGGTGTCGCTTGAAGCCTCACTTGCCCTTGGCCTTGTGGTGGCTCTCGGTCTTCTTGGGCAGCAGCACGGCCTGGATGTTGGGCAGGACGCCGCCCTGCGCGATCGTCACCTTGCCCAGCAGCTTGTTGAGCTCCTCGTCGTTGCGGATGGCCAGCTGCAGGTGGCGCGGGATGATGCGCGTCTTCTTGTTGTCGCGCGCCGCGTTGCCCGCCAGCTCCAGGATCTCGGCCGTCAGGTACTCCAGCACCGCGGCCAGGTACACCGGCGCGCCGGCGCCCACGCGCTCGGAGTAGTTGCCCTTGCGCAGCAGGCGGTGCACGCGGCCCACGGGGAACTGCAGCCCGGCCCGCGACGAGCGCGTCTTGGCCTTGGCGCGCGCCTTGCCGCCCTGCTTGCCGCGTCCGGACATGTCGTACACAATATCAGCGCGCACGGGACTCTCACGCCAGCGAGAACGACCTAAGCTACTTATAGTGGTGGCGGGGCGCGAAAAAAGAGCTGTGCGATTGGCCACTCTGAGATTTTCGTTTGCACCAATGGGGGCGCGACGATGGGGCATGCGTGTGTCGATTGGGTGAAGCCGGCGCGGTGGCGTCACCGGAGAGGAAGCACCAATCACCGGGCAGCGCCAGTCTACCTCATTTACATAAGGCTGTATATTTAAGGCGGTGCCGCCGGGCTCTGATGCTTCATTTTCTTTCATCTGCTGCTCGCCATGCCTGAGCCGGCCAAGTCCGCGCCCGCGCCCAAGAAGGGCTCCAAGAAGGCGGTGACCAAGGCGCAGAAGAAGGACGGCAAGAAGCGCAAGCGCAGCCGCAAGGAGAGCTACTCGGTGTACGTGTACAAGGTGCTGAAGCAGGTGCACCCCGACACGGGCATCTCGTCCAAGGCCATGGGCATCATGAACTCGTTCGTCAACGACATCTTCGAGCGCATCGCGGGCGAGGCGTCCCGCCTGGCGCACTACAACAAGCGCTCGACCATCACGTCGCGGGAGATCCAGACGGCCGTGCGCCTGCTGCTGCCCGGGGAGCTGGCCAAGCACGCCGTGTCCGAGGGCACCAAGGCCGTCACCAAGTACACCAGCTCCAAGTGAGGCCCGCGCAGCCCCCGGCCGGCCGCGCCCCAAAGGCTCTTTTCAGAGCCACCACGTTTTCCAAAGAGAACTGGCACTCGCGTTCTTGCTTAATCGGATTTTTCTTTTGTAGCCCCCCACCCCTTTTTTTTTTTTTTACCCAAAGTAATTAGATTTCTTACATTTGGCCTATAGGGTTTGGCTCTTTTAGGAGGTCAGTTACTAAAACGTTTGTGCCCCTGAGTTTCAAATTTGGGTGTTTTCTCTGAAACTCCATACTAGTAAACTTTAGCAGCAGTTTGTTCATGTCACTACTGTGAGGCTCAGTGAGGATGTTTCATGTATTGTGTATTATTGTGTACTTTTATTTGCATATATTAATAAAGAATTTTACACGTTTACGTGGCATTTGAAAGCTTTAAGGCGTCTATCAAACTAGATAGACCTCCCAATTCAACTCGTAAGTGTTGAGCATGGATGTTTTCTAAATTCAGTATTTGGTGAGCCAGAAATACAGCACAGAACTAAACAGAAAGTCAAGCCTTTATTGAGTTTGTTTTCTAGTTTGGTAAGAAACATAACAAAAAGTATCAAAAGATATTAAATGTTGGGAGAAAAGCAAGGGGAGCTGCTCTGCTACCTGGATGTGACTGCAGTTTTCTCTTCAACCATTTCCCTTTAGCAAAGCCAAGCGGCATCTCTCCCAGGACTGCCAGCCTGTATCTGCAGGCGTCTCTTAACAAATCTGTCCCTTCTGGGGCATATTTTTTTTTTTTTTTAAAGGTTTATTTATGCATACAAGAGCTGAGGTACAGGCCGGAGATGTGGGTGGTGAGAGGATTCGCCAGAGACAAGAGTGGGGAGCAGAACAGGCAGCTCTACTGAAATACACTGCTGAGGGGAGCAGTGGGGAGAAAGGAGAGGCCTGGGGGCAGATTTTTCTGCCCCGGCTCTTTTGTGTATGGGGCAGATTTTTCTGCCCCGGCTCATTTGTATTTTAAAATAAAATAAACCTGCCCTTCCGAACATTAAAAAAGAAAAGGAGCAGGTTTGTGTTCTCCATTTAAAATAACCATCGCATGAGGCTGAAATTTTAACAAAGATGAGATGCACTGGGCCATTGTGGAAGATTCTAGGCAGAAAGAAAGAACAAGAGGCCTGAGGTATACATGTGGGTGGTGGGGAACACCTGGTATTAGTCAAAGAACACCAGGTCACCAAAGAGGCTGGGGATTTGGGAACAAGCTGGAAATTAACTGGAACTGGAGTAACATGAGAAGAGGGTTTTCTGGAATGTGCAGTATCTTACATGACAGCAGTCAGTGTTGGAGTTTATTATCCTATATTTCAAATTCTTAGTAGCCACAGAAAACTGTGGGTTTTGGGTAGCCACTGTGACTCATCTCAACTCCTGATCCTGGACTTCTAAAGAACAATATGCAAGATGGCATGTGGAAGTCATTTTACTTCTTTGGTTGAAGCGGCCCAGAGCGGTTAGAGGGAAGGGGATTCACTGGCTGAGTTGGCATTAGGGGCCCCAGAGAAGTTCCAGGCCCTGCCCTACTGACGTGGGAATGCCTGGCCTTGCTCTCCCAACAGTTGCCTTTTGGTCCAGAATAGTGTCCAGGTCTGTAGCCTCCTGAACAAAGCAAATGTCTATGCATCACCATTTTGTTTGTTTTTTTGTTTTTTAATTTTATTTGTTGTTTTTTACTTTTTATCTTTTATATCATGGTTCATTTTTAAACAATATTGGCTTCCCCCCAATCCTAAGGTGTAGTACCCATAGAGTTTCCTTCCCCAATGCACCCATACACCATCATCTCAGTCCCCTGTGCTCCTTCTTCCCCCCCTCTGATCCCTCTCCCTCCTCCTCCCCTGCAGGATGTCTCTGATTTATAATCATCTATTTTTGCTTTGTTGTATTTTCTACTGTTATTATTTGGTTCCCCTATATTCCTGTTATAAGTGAAACCATCTGATTTTTTTTTTTTTCTTCTGACTTATTTTACTGGGCATAATTCCTTCTAGCTCCATCCACATTGCTACAAATGGCATGAGTTTATACCTTTTTTGATTGCTGAATAATACTTCATTGTGTGTATATACCACATCTTCTTGATCCATTCACCTATTTTTGGGCATTTGGGTTGTTTCCAGGTTTTACCTACTGTAAATGTGCTGTAATAAACATAGGGGTACGGATGAATCACCAATTTTAATCTGCTTTCAGTTGGGGCTGCCAGGGACCACACAAATAAGGACCTGTGACAAATAAACTATCTTGGAAACATTAAAAGCCACGCCCCCATTCTTTCCTGTGCCCACTCCTGAATTTAAACTTTTCTGTCATGTCTTTAGCTTTTTCTGGCCTTATTTTCAACTGATCTCAAGCCATGGAAACAAAATCATATTATCCATATAAGGAGCTAATAGTCAAGCTTTGGCCACTGTCTCTTGATCAGTTTTATGTTCCCAGTTTCTCACTCTTTTTGCATGTAGTGGAGCCCAATTTCAATCAAGTGTCAGAATCTTGATGGAATGTTGAAAACAGTATGTTGTTGCCCAGCCCCAACTCCAGAGATTCGGACTGACCAGAGGCCTGGACATCTAGCATATTGGAAACTCCCCAGGTGGTGCTGGTGGTGTAATGATTTAGGCACACTGTTCCCTAACAACCAAGGGAAGTGGCATCAGATGCAGTGACCCTGCCTTTGGATATTGTTTCCATGCAGCACTTCTCACAAGGTCCCAGTGAGTCAACAGGAGATGGCAGAAGTGGTGGAATATCACTTCCAAGGTTAGAGAAAGACTTCCGTCTTGATCATGCCTGCTCACTCATGGATTACTTGCTCCAGGGGAAGAGACCAGCTCTTGTTACCAGTCACCCCACAGAGGTGCCTGCATGGTGAGGACCAGAAGCCTCCAGCCAGCGGTCATAGGATGGAGCCTTTCTTGGACCTCAACTCCAGTCTGTCCAGCTGTGAAGAACCCAAGTCCGCAATGCAGCTTTTCCAGAGAACCTGAACCAGGACCACACAGTTAAGCTGTTCCCAGATGTCTGATCCTCAGACTCTGTGAGGTAATACACACTCTGTAGTCATTTTTTTAAAGATTTTTTTTATTTATTTATGCATACAAGAACTGGGATACAGGCCACCAGAGGTGTGGAGGGTGAGAGGATTCACCAGAGACAGAATGAGGAGCAGAACAGGCAGACCGACTGAAATACACTGCTGAGGGGAGCAGCAAGCGAATCAGGAGTCTGCTGCACCTTTTGGTAGCTCCCTGGCTGGGGATTGAACTCATGCTGCATGGCTGTGGATAGCTTCATAGTGTGGTGTTCAACCCCTTGCGTTACCAGGGAGGCCCACACTCTGTGGTCTTAAGCTGCTAAATTTTGGCATACAATATATTTAGCTGATAATACTGATAATACACAAATAAAAATCTTAGCAGTTGACCTTGTCTTTCATATTGATCCTTGTTAACAAGTTTGCTTCCACCAAATTCCTACAGCTTAGTATATATTACAAGATAATTCATTACTTTTAAAGATTTATTTTGTTTATTTTTGCATACAAGAACTGGGGTGTGGGAGTAATAGGAGGCCAGAGG